TTCGTGTTTATTTACGAGTTGGCGTTTTTGATAGGTCCGACACGTGGTTCTCGGAAAGTGTCAGAGCTCCGTTTTGTGGCGTTTTTAATAAACGACTTATTGTAACGTCTCCTGGAATCGGACCAGGTGCATGGGGTGGCATTATTCAAACCACAACTCGCCGTTAATTGAATTTATATCACGGGGCTTTTCATATTATAAAACATCATCGGCGATTGCGCGATGCTTAAAACACATTAAATATTCATTTCGGTTTTATTAAAATATCATGTAACAATATGCTCGAAACCTGTTGCATGCATCGGATTGCACGATGGGACAAGATGATCTGTCATGCTTTACTCTTTTATTTGCTTTTTTAACGTTCATTCGAGACGACTTGCGCAAAATATTTACTATAAATTTTAGGAGGTTATTGCTTATGATCTCCCTTACATGTTTATAGACGATCTGATTAACGATACGTCGAAAATAACCTGAGTTACGGCCAGGGAGAGACACGATATGGGCTACAACCTCATCAAACCGAAAATCAAGCACGAAACTGCAGGAATTTTTGAACAAATCTTCTGATAATTAAACCAATTCCTGCAGAATATTGCAGAAATTTCGATAATGTTAGTGTCACAAACTCACTTGTCTGATGCTAAAAAAATAGAATGCATTACAATTATTTAATTTTTTTGTTTTCTTCTTGCAACTGCATTTTTTTCACGTTTCTCGAAAGCGGTTAATTTTTATCGGGCCGCGTCTGGCGTAACTGCTAACTTATGCACGTTAGAGTAAAATGTGAGCAAAAAGTGTGGTTGAGGCCACCCTGTAGGCCAATTAGACGAAATCGCCCAATAATTATCAATTAAGGGAAATAAAACAAGCGCCGACACTGCACGGCCTCGGGCCATTATGCCGATGTTAATTGAATCGTACACCGGGGGCAAAAATGCAACTCCGATAACGTCGGCCGTAATTAATTATTCGACGCAGAATTGCTGATTGCTCAATTACCATTGCGAATTAGAGAGGGGCCCTAATTACGACATTCGAACGCGGTAGGTACACATATCGAAAAAGTCCGGATTTTCCCCCGGAGAAAAAATTAGCAGTTTCTCATTGCCGGAGTAATTAGCAAGATCGAGAGCAAAAAAGCAAAGTAATTAAAGAGTAACCGAATATGATGTATGGCGTTCGTAAAGCGTTTAGTGTTAATGTGAGAATAATTACAGGTATTAAGACATTGATTGCACACACACGTTTATATTTTAACTCACTAATTATTCGTTTAAATCCATTAAAAGATAGATTACGCGATGTGCAATTAACCCCCGTTGGTATTTTTGCGCGATGCGAAAATCGCAGCTTCTCGTCTTGATTCAAAATCGTTCCGTCAGCTTAAATAATTGGCAGCAACACGGGCCGTTGCTCGCTGACTTTATGAATTATTCGTTTCCCAATACTTAAATGACAGTTCAATAACTTTTGATTTGATTATGCGAGAGATAAGTCCGCATCGGTGAAAGATTTATTGTTTCGGTTAGTCGCAGCGGGTGATAGGTTTTTATATGTAGGCTTTTTCGCCGAATTAGGGTGGAATCATTCAATATGGCGCATAGACGAATAGACGAATGCGAAATTTCAGTCCCACCAAAAGCCAGTTTGCGTAAGTAGGTCCTCCAATCCAAGTTCTCAATACTCGGGTGACCAATACGTTCACACCGAGGGAAAGTGACACAGCGGAGGGGTCCACGAAACAAATTAAAAACAAGACACATTGGTAAAATGCATGAGACAACGCTTTCTGCAGGAGGAGGAGTTTGATAGGATTTTGGGGAATTCGAAGAAAGATAAGCTTTGTTGAGTAATCACAGTTACATGACACACATCTCTTATTTCGCATTGTTATACAGACAAAACTTCAGTTTCATTATTTTTGTGATGACTGAAATTTTATTATTTTTTAAATTATTTTAATTAAGTCACTAGTTTCTTGACGACTTGACTAGGGGCAATCTTGTTATTCGCATTTTAAAATTAATATATAATCAAACACTTTTTCTGTTTAAAAACTTCAGTTAAAATTTTACAAAAAAATGTAAATACATGAAAATAGCCTTATTGTTATCAGAAATGTGATTGTAGAAAAGCTTAAATTAAAATACATGATTTCTTATCTCTGCTATATAATTGCAGAAACTATTAACATAACAAATTAAATTTACTTTAAGAATTTACTGCAGAATCTATTTACTACTGAATCTCAAAGAATTTTTTGCTTACAACTTTTATTTAGTTCCTAAATTTTTTAAGAAAAAAACCGTTTTGTTTGAATTTAAAAAAAAGTTTCGATAAAAAAATGAAATAGTTACTTACTACTCAAAATACTACTTACTACTCAAAATATTTTGATTCTTGAACTGTAAACAAAAAAAAATATTTTTTTTAAGTTTCAAGCCAGAGAATTTGTAAATCAACATATTACATCAAAATAAGTGCTAAAATTGCTAAAATTAAGCGATCTGAGCTCTTTTGAAACGATTTTTCTCGATTTTAAACCAGAAATCCTTGTTTCAACAAATAATAATGCAATAATTTTCCCTCAAAACGTTAATTTTAAGCCAATTTTTAGCATTTGTGTTGATAAAAAATCGAATTTACACCCTACTTGAAATAATAAAAAAACTACAATTATGGAATGAATTATAAGATTAGTAAACATTTTTTATGAAAAAATCGTTTATTTGAAGCCAACATGGTAAACAACAAGCATAATTTTTAAATAAATCTGGAGTATAGAGAACTATTGGAATAAAGAAAAAGTGTATTTGAAAAAATCACTTAATAATTAATTAATAACTGTAGGAATACCTACTGTTAGCAGGATTAGGATTTCCTGCTACAACTAAGCTTGTATTATAAAGCTATAAATAATTTAAAGAAGTTCAATGTGGAAGACTCGAAATCAAAATTTCCTTCAAAAAAAAAATAATGAAAAAAAACACTAAAAATAGTTGAATTTTGCTGAATTTATTGAATAACTCGTTTTCAGAATTGACAGCTAAAACTTTGAGTAATGAGGTTAATGATCGTTTGTTCTAATTAAAAATATACGAATGATCGAAATTATTTCTCAGTAGTGTAAACGTATTAAATTTTTTGTTGTTTATGGAGCATGTTCGTGGCGAAGCCACGGACGTTAAGGGATGCCAGCGTTTAGTGATTTAAAGGCACTTCATCATAGGCGTGTGACAGGCGTTGTAGCTCGATTTGCTTACCTCTAGCATTATTATAGGTAAACTTTGTAAGTTTAGAGGTTCTAAACGTCCCAAGTATCCACAAGCTGAATAGAAAATTATTGCCTAGAAATTGAAATTTCTTATGGCAGTCATAACTTTAGATTGTTCCAATACAATGTTTGGTGTCTATTGGTTTTCGAGTTGATTTATAGGTGTAGCATCTCCCGTTCAATATTTCACTCGGCGTTGATCTTATCTGAATTTTAATTTCAGTCTTGTAATTAATTACAGCTTCATCCTTTTGTGTTGAGTTTTTCGCAAAGTGTGTGGGCGCCACGTACTCGTGATATATGAACACTTAATTTACGGATTTATTTATGGGGAAATTCAATTCCGATTCGCATATGCGTGTGTAAATAGGAAGTATCGATGATTGATGAATCGTGGGTGGTGCAGTGTCGCTCTTTCCGGAATTAAGGCGATAAATCGTTGAATTATTTATCACTGGTGATAAGTTCAGAGGTCAGCGTCTCGGCCCCAAAATAAATAATAAACGCATCGTCTCGTGAAATTTCGCCGGCGCGATAATAATTTTTTAATGTGCATCGTAATGAAAATAAATGACGGGTTGTCAAAGAACATCATCTTCCCGTGGAAATTCAACTTTTTTTACCCGGTTTTATTTTATTTTAATTACAGGCTTCGCTCGTGCGTTGGGTGGAGATAACCCATATGGCCGCGAGCCGACAAACTGATTATATATTCAGATATCGAGACGAAAAAATTGCGTCTTTATTGTTCGATAATTGAACCGAAACCTGGGGACCAACGCTCACCACCACCTCTCGGAATTACACCATTAAATATAACATCGGAGGACTCGGTCCGAAATCATTTTCAATTTCGCCGGATTAAATATCAGCCGAAACGTATATTTAAATCGGACGGAACGATGTAATTATTAAATTACAAAAATTAATATGATGAATGGGACCACCTAGACGGATTAATAGAATTTCAAAAAATCACGTCGGATGTGACACATTAATATTACTGGAGCATAATTAAATGCTAAGCGGAGATTCAGGAATGACAGATGATGGACTGTCAAATTATCGCACGATTTTTCATCGATTAATGAGAGAAATAAGCCCGGATCCATGCCAGGAAACAAATTACTTCGCGAGAGATGGCGATTAAAAGGAGCAAAAACCAATTCTGTTCTGCTCATTTGTTTTATTTAGCCCATTGTTAACATTTATTACAAAATGTAATGTCTGCAAGAGGCGTAGTACTTATTAAAATTAAACTATTGCTGAATGTTATAACGCCTTTTTATTTAGGTACATTTAAAAAAAAAACTTAAGAGATAAGTAACAGGGTTGAAAATTAAACTGGAAGAGAACTGGAGACGAACTTATCCTCCAGTTAATTTTCAACCCTGTTAGGACTTGAATCTGAGGACGTTATTTTCACAATTTTAAAAAACAAGTGCAAAAACACAGAATTTCAACAAGATCCAACTAGAAATATTGCAATTGTCTTGAATTTTTCTTTTTGTGTTTTTTTTCTTGTTTAATTTGTCTTCACAGCGATTGTTCGTTGTCTTTTCTGTAACTTTCTCCTGTCCGAAAATCCGTCTATGCTAACGATCCCTCGTCGTCATTTGCGCCATCGATCTTTATCATTTATTCCTCCTTCACAATGATCTCCCAATTGATCATTTATGTGCGCCTGACGCCCGCTCAGGTGGGGAATTCTCGTCAGTACCAGCTCGTGGTACCATCGACCCACCAGTGGCCAAGTCGACCTCTTCGTGTGTAGACGGCGATACCATAATGTCGCCCAAAAATAAACACAAACCCAGTGCCTGACCATGGATCCTCTCTTGCTATACACCGACCCCAACAACAACGACGCCGCCAAAGACAAGTACTCGTTGCGGCCGCGGTCCATGCGCAGACGAACGCATTCTCCGGACGCCGCCCCCAAGAAAGCCGCCCCTTTGAGCAAGTACCGCCGCAAGACCGCCAACGCCAGGGAACGAAATCGGATGAGGGAGATTAATCAAGCTTTCGAGACGTTGCGAAGAGTTATTCCACACGTGCAGGCGACGCAAGTGCCCGGAACCAATGAGAAATTGACGAAGATTACAACGTTGAGACTGGCGATGAAATATATCGCGGATTTAAGTGCGGCGTTGAATGCCGGGCCGGAGTCGAGTCCGGAAACACCGGATTATAGTGATTTGGACTGTTTGCTCCTGGAGTCTGACGGCGAGTCGTTGCAATTATCGGATCATTCGTTGTTAGCGTCTCCGGATTTCCCGGAACCGGCGTTAAGTCCGGTCGATTTTAGCGACCCGAGTCTTCCGGCTCTGTTACACACGGATTTTACAGAACATACTCTCGGACCGGATGATTTCGACGATTTTTTTGCCGACGAAACGTGATCTGTTTTTGTACATAAATATTGAACTGAAACGTCTTGCCTCATAGTAATGTAAGTCTTGTGTATAAAATACTCTGTTACCTATTATAGAAAATTTTATATTATTATTGTGCGATTTATATTTGTAATATGCCATGTTATTATTTTTTTATTATAAATAAATGCGTTGGAATAAATTAGTTTTGTGAGAGCCAGTGCGCGGGTTCATTGGAACCCGCCCGACCAGGACTTGGAATTATTGAATTAATTGCTCCTAAAATGTGTCAAGTATTAATGGCTAAAGTAGCCGTGTTGTTGCGATAATCTTGCACCGATCTTAATTACGGTAAAGAAACATGTGTATCCTCGAGGTAAGTAAAAAATTTCAGGATTTTTCAGCGTCGATAAACTCCGTTCAAACCAGTTACCCAACTGAAAACGGATGAGAAATGAATATTAAAGTGTTTAGAATACAATTAGTTACAATAAATTATGGGAATTAATTTAAGTGTGTCGGTGAAACTCCGACGATAAATACTGGCAGCGACACCTGTCGCCTGAAATGCTTATTCTTGAGTTACACCGGCGTTTCAATAATTACAAGTGTGGGTAAACATGTGCTAATTATAAAATACTTAAAAGTTTCATTTCAAACACAAAACATATGATTAGCGATTAGGATTGCAATAGTGGGCCCTAGAGCAATTAAGACAATTCCTGCGCACTTATAATAACACTTTCCGGTTCCTGAAATAATCCTGTCTCGTAGAATTTATTTTCGCGTTATTAGCGCTAAAACGCCATACAATACTTCCAATCGTTCCCTCTAACGATTTATTTTCAGTCGTATAATACGAGTTTATTTATCGGTTTCGTGCATTATAAAACTCTCGGACAATTTATAGTCGAACGAGTTTCACTTTCATTATTGTCATAAATAATGGCCGTTTTTTTACGAAACATTGATAAGAGCAGCGCCGATTTTCAGGGTTCGCACTTTCGTAATAAAAAATAATTATGCCACCTTATTCGGATTTATCGCAGCTTTCACCGAAATGTCAACGTGTGTGTTGCGCGCGCCACCCCGTACATAATGCAAAAATTATGTTATTACCGAAGCTTATCAGCGAATCACTGGCAATTTCAACACACCAACGGATTTATCATCGACGATTATGTCGTCAAACGATAATGGAGCGTTTTTAATGGCCGGCTCTTATCTAAATTAAGTGTTGGACACGACGCGAGCCGATTTACGTCCAAGACAATACCACGGATTGTGATAAGAGTGATAACGGGGGCGCGATCTCCACGGCCCGACGTGGGGAGTCCGCACATTAAAAGCTTTTTTGCTTCTTCAAATATTTTCTTTCATTAAAAAGCTCCACTTCATCAACCAACACATTTAATGAATTCTCAACCAAGAGCTTTGGTTTCACAAAATTACAAAAGATTTCTCCTTGCAGTCTGTTTTAACTTTCCATTTTATTCGTAAGAACATCTTTTGAATTTCAAGTGTCGCGGAGGAGTTTTGCATTGTTGAGGATCCTTGATTTAGGCTTTTTCATATGTTTGGCGAAGCTTTTGCATGTGTGTAAAAATATTTGAGGCGTGTCTCAACCTGGGGAGTCTGTATTTGTCTCACAAACCTTCATCGTCTTGCCTTAGACAATAGCCAACAAATATTTAGTTTGTAGGACATTTTATAGCGTCGTTGCGTCAATACTAATCATAATTTACGGCCGTTAGATGGTATTAGTTTCGAGCGTTCGATTCCAAACATCTTTTTTCGTTTCGTATCTTATTTCGAAATGATTATTCTGAATGATGGCTCTATAAGTCGGGATAACTCAATTGTGTTACAAATCCCTAACTTTGAAATCCAACCACACGCAACCTGTTTGCAGACACTGGGATTTATTTACAATGTAATGACGCAATTTACCTCAAATAAATAATTTTATTGAGAATACACGTATGCAAAACTAATGCATGCACGATGTGTCGACCCACACAAACCTCCTACAACTCCCACAACAAAAAACAATACCGTCGATATATTGGGCGTTCTTTTATTACAAATTTTTTAACACGGACCGGTTAATACAGCGGTTAATTAACGGAATTTTTCCCTTGGAGAGCTTTGTTTACAACTCTATTAATTTCGCAAGTTTTAGCAAAAACACGATAATTAAACGCTACCTACCCACAGCTCGTAAATCATTTCTATTATCTAGAGAATTGGAAGCGAGAAAGTCTTTTTGCGACCCACCCACGACATTAAATTCAAGATTTTATGTAGCGGGGGTGGCACATGATTGTTTTTGACCACCACGATTCTGACAGAAATAAATAAAATACTATCGAAAGTAACACAATTTAATATTTGGTTAACGTAGGAGGAGGTCCTCTCAAGTGACACTTTTAACAATAGACGGGCTATTTTATTGTCAAACTCGACAATGCAGAAGCAACCAACAATAATAACAATGAAAATAAAACTTGTTATCTTTTGGAAAATCGCAGGCCCGCCCAAACGACGATTTCATGTAAGCTAAAAGCAGCTATTTGTAAAAATATAGCCCTAGCTTTGGCACACGCAGTCATGTCAGAGAAAATTATAGAAATATATTAAAAAACATTGTTAACGCAATTTATTGTTTTTATTTCGTGCTAGAGTGTATCTTCTGTTTGGATTGCACTTTTGTTAGTTGTTTTAAAAATTGTTGATTTCTGCTTAGAGGGGTTAGAGATGATGGATGCGGTTTTCCAGCTCGCACGCGTCCGTACTCTCAATCAACATTACCATAATGTTCCGTTCGCGTTGTGTAGGTGGTCTTGTTGTGGGGTCTGGTCAAAAGTGGCATCGGTGAAATGGCGGAAATCACTCCTGGTAGTGCGCGATCAAAACTGATTTTCTCCAATTTTTTTCATTCGTCGAAAAATTGATGTCTCGAGTATTCCAAAGAGCTGTAAACTAATTAAGAAATTCCAATGACTGATTTTTCTCGCTGTGGTGAGTGGTGACGGCCCGATAAAAATGCTTTTAATAATAATATATCTTCAATTAATTAATGTCCTTATCCAGGACGAGGCGCCGCCAAACTATCTCGACTGCTACCTGTCTACAATTAAACACGCAGCTTTATCATTGACGCCTCCACCGGAAAACATTGACGACCTTCAGGAGAAACGCTCGACCCCCATTAAAAACGCATTACCGTAACCGGCAATTTCTTAAGAGGAATTATGATTTTTTTCTCGAAACGCCCCTTTACCGATGATATTTTAAGGATAAATTGAAGACTCAATTAAGTAAATGCCGCTTTATTACCGGCACCACCTACAAAATTGGACCATTTATTTCTCACAGGAATCCAATTTAAACCAACTGAGGTGGCGAAACTCGACCAACACCTGACGGACAATTTTGAAGAATTTAAATTCCCAGCAAAGCCAAACAAAGTAAAGAGATATCTTTTTTTTTCAACAGCCGGTTTTGATTTGTTGATAATTTTTCCGCTTTGATTTATGCAAGATCAGAATTCTTATCTCGGAATTCGGGTTTGAATTGCGGCACGTGTTATCATGTACAGTGTCAAGTTTTTTATTTTTCGTCGGAGCATTAGATAAGAAGTTATTCAGTTGTTTATTATCAGTTCATTTGGATCTGTCCGCGTTGAACGCGCTTGATTGATGAAAGTCGTTGTATTAATTGTTTCAATTTTCTCTGAACGCGTCTACATCGTGAAATGGAGCGTCTATTTTCAAGATGTGATGAAAATAATAATTGAAGCGAGTCTATTTGGTGTGATAAGGAAGAGCAACGACGTCCCGGGGTGACACTAAAACGAATGTCCCTTCGTCTTGTCTCAACATGAACCAATTAATAATAAATTGTTTTAAATACTTCTCTCGGTTATGGTAATTTCGCCATTGAGCCGAAGTGAGTTATTAACATTCGCACAAAGCGGCAATTACGTTTTTTTGGCCATTCTTTTAATTATCCAAGGCATAATTTACGCGTTTGTTCTTGCTCTTGTTGCGTGTTGTAACTCGCTGTTAATATCCGGGGGCTTAATATTGATGATTAGCGGCGTGTATTTCCATTATTTAAAAAGGCTGACCGTCAGTCGAGATCCATTATGGCCGATACATATCAATCGAGTCGTTGGCGTCCGGTAGCCCAGATGATGAAGCATTTCTCCTTTCGAAAAAATTTCGACATTGTTATGCACGACGAGGATTTTCGTCGACTTTGTCGGCGATTGCTTCTTCAGCATTCATTTTCCATAAAACGCGATAAAAATTCGCGCTGCTTGCATAAGATTACGTCAGCGAGAGACTTTACATGACCTGCAAATATTTTTTGAAAACTTGTCCCCGTGCTACTCCAAACGTGTAATAAAAATTCTGTAACGCTGAAAGCGTGGGTGACTCATATGTTTGTACAATCAGTGGCCTTTCAACATAAATACAAATCAAGGGAAAGTCGCAAGTGTAATGCGGCGAATTATTACGAGAATATATCAATCACTCGGCCGGGAGCATCCTTTTTTACTGCACTTTCAATTTATACTACCATGAAAAAACTTATTAGGAGTAAACAATGTGACGGCGAGCCTAATTGACTCATTACTGTGTTAGCCGTACATGGATCGTAATGCTAGTTAAGCTTCCACGACTGTAATTGCGAATTATGCAAATAGAGAGGTTTATTAATAAGATAATAAGAGATACAACGCTTTGTTTCTTTCACCAAACGATTTTCTTGGTGCAAATACATTCAACTAAAAGATATGTTTAGCAAAAATACACAAATAAATAAATACAGTCTGTTTTTTTTATAGAAATCACCAAGTCAAAATTGTCTCCTGTCACAAATTTTGTTTGCTTTATGTTTTTGTCCCTAGAAATTTTGTTGAAAATTATGATTGTTTCCATGTTGAAATGTTGTTAAGATTTTGACTTTTATGAATTTTGTGTGCCTGTTTACTCTTCGAAAACGTTATAATCGAATACATAATTACTTAAGGTCTAACGACAGAAGTCAGTACTGATACTATTAATAGAAACAGACTGCAAATAACAGCAATGCAGAAAAAAAATTATTTTCCAAAAGATGCAAGCAGGTATTATGAAGTGGTAATAAATTTTGGGTAATTTATTGAAATGAGCTCGAAGTTGATTCATGTTC